AGGGAGTAAATACCAGGATTTCGCTCGCGTCTCGCGAGTCCTCTCGGGAACGTATCGGGGAGGAGGGGAGGAGGTTACGGGGAGGGAGCGGGAGGTGACGGCTGAGAGAGAGAGAGAGAGAGAGAGAGAGGAAGGTAAAAGGGGGTTTCTTAGATGCCGTGATGGCGGCACTCAAGAGCCGGTGGCACCCGGGAGTCAACCCTCCGGGCGGGGTTGCCAAACGCATACAGGACTCGCCATCCTGTGCAGTGCTCGGAAACCAGCTCCTGTTCGGCTTCTTCGTTCTCTTCTCTTCCACCTCCTCCATCCTCCACGTTCACCTCCTCCTTCACTATCACCTCTGTCCCGCTCTTTCCCGTTCCGCGTCTACGAAACCATCTCTATCGGCCACCTCTTGGCTCCTTGCTCGCGCGCTTTCCTCCTTCTGGAGGGGACCGCATTTTTTCTGGTTGCGCCTGCGATGGGTGGCACCCAGACCGGTCTATGCCCGACCAATGAGAGGAGCGACCGCGGTAACGCCTCTCCCGGAGTGCTCCGACAGTGGCGGCCTTCCTCATCGACTACTCATCGGAGTTGTCCCTCTCTCTTCCTCCCAGCCCCTCACCGGTCGCGCTCGCTCTTCCTCACCGCGTTCTCCCTCACCATCCAGCCACTTGGCTATCCTCCTCCTCTTTCCGCGTGAGTCGCGTCTACGTTTCAGCTCCCGCGCACTTCTTTCCTTCCCTCCGTATCTTGATATTTTTCATTAATTTCTCTCTCCGAGCTCTCCGGACGATTCTCCATCTTCCTCTCTCTTTCTCCGTCTGTCCATCTCGTTACAGTCACTCGGACTTAGGTCTCTTCTCTTTATCCCGCGTTACTCGTTCGCGCGTTCGGAGAGCTCTCCTCTCCGCGTATATCCATCCGAATGCGCAACCGACTGTCCTTCTCGTTCAAGACCTTACGTATTTGGTACCCTCTCCTGGGGTTGCTCTCGCACCGATGTCCTTGTCCCTCCAAGAGAAACGGCACTCGTTCGCCACACAACACCGGGACATGGCTTCTGGTTTCGCCGTCTTTTTTTTCCCCAGAATCTTCTACATTTGCGAAATTGCGGAGTCGCGTCAAAATGACGAACTTGGCAAGTGTGTCCTCTCGACGATTAGAATCCTCTTTTCAATCCTCTCATCATTTTTCATATCTTTACTCAGTATCGTGCCTCGATTCGAGCCATTTCGCGTCTTCCGCCTCGTAGATACGAGGCTCTGGATTTATGGGTTCGCGTTATCTCGGGACAGGTGTGGTCAGTGCCTTCTTCCGCGAGATCGACCTCTGACCTATCCTCCAACGTCACGAGAGTTAGGAAGGGGCAGGATGCCGCGATGGCAGTCGGACGCGCATGGCTACTTTCCGTTATCCTCTGCACCTCCTGGTCGCTCTACCGGATTATCTACCCCTTCTCTCAGAATTAAAGGATGCAATCTTATCACGCCGGTCGATCGAGTCCGACTTTCAAATTTTATATCTATTTAGCTTATTTTCAAACGATACAAAGTCCAAAATCAAAACGGAAGGAAGATCTAAAAAAACATCTTAAAAACATCTTTATGAAAGACATTTATGAAAGACATTCTTATGTCCCGATTTTGAACTTTGTATTGTCTGCATTGTCTGCATTGTACTAAAGTCGTGACGATTTTCTGAAAATTCGAGATCCATCACAGAACTCGTCCAACGATGGCGTTCATTCTGAAATAATCTCGCAGATGAAAATAATGAAGAATTGGAACTTTTTAATTTCGCTTAAATGCGATTTAAATAATAAATGAGCGGATTTGAGTGTTTGATATCTTTATGCATGAATCGCGTCGAATCGGCGATTGCGTGAACAGCGTCTTTCGCGACGCGCAAAGATGTCGGCGTGAGCCGTCGCATTTCCAGGAAAAGCTGTCGGCGCAGTGCTTATCGCTCCGTGTCGAATCCGATAGAAAAAGCACACGTACGAACGCGATTAACGGCAATAAACAAAGTAGGTCCGCTTTAAAGCGCGTACGGCAAGTCGGCGGCGTCGATGCGATATGGCGCAAAAAGCGCCACCATTTTCCCCGTTATACGAGGAATCGCAGGTTACCGAGGAGTCCTGCGAGAACGATGGAGGATCGAAATCCTCCGGTCCTCTCCGTTTACCTAGGTGAGGGATGAGAGATGAGCGAGGTGCGCATGTACGCTTCGAGGAGGGAGCACGCCCCCTCCTCGCGGGTCCGCAATTTCATTTTCTAAATGAGGCGAGCCAACCCCCTGGGAGGAGTGGAAGGCTTGGCCTTCCGTTTCGTGTACACGCTCGTGCCTGCTCGACTGCAATCGAAAGCGCATATCCATTTAATTAATTATGCATGAGGTCCGCCGCAACGCCGAAACACAGCGGCGTTATCGTTAACCCGTGTGAAAATGGTCGAATTGCCGACCCGCGTCTGCCGGTGATTTGCCAG